TGTGGTGTCAGGATTGGTGGAAGATCCATCAACAATCTGCGTTATAGAGATGACACAACCCTGCTTGCTGAAACTGAGGAGGGCCTGAAGCGCTTGCTGCAGAGGGTAAAGGACTGCAGCTTTCAATACGGATTGAGGCTTAATGTCAAGAAAACAAAGATTCTCACCACTGGACCTATTGGCAGCATCAGGATGGATGCTGAAGATATTGAGACTGTTCATAGCTTTAGTCTGCTTGGCTCCACATTCAACATTCTTGGCACCAGTAGCCAGGAAATTAAAAAATGTATTGCGTTGGGAAAGTCTGCTGTTAGGGACCTCACCAAAGTACTGAAGAGCAATGGTGTCACTCTGGAGACTAAAGCGCATCTGATACAGGCCATGGTCTTTGAAAGAACTTGTTATGCATCAGAGAGTTGGACAATGAGTAGGGAGGATAGAAGGAGAACTGATGTCTTTGAGTTGTGGTGCTGGATAAGAGTATTGAGCGTACCATGGACTGCTAGGAAAAAAAAACGATTCATCCTGGAGAGGGTTAAACCAGGCAGCTCCTTGGAGGCAAGGATTCTGAGGCTTTGTCCAACATACTTTGGACATGTTGTAAGGAGGGACAAGGCCTCGGAGAGGGACATCATGCTTGGTAGGGTGGAGGGACAGTGCATGAGGGGAAGGCCCTCTGTGAGGTGGATTGATTAAGTGACTGGGGTAATCGGGATGGGTGTATCAGAGACAGTGCGACTGGCACAGGACAGAGCAGAGTTTAGGACTGTTGTGCTTAGCATCACTATGAGTCACAAGTGACTTGAGAGCACGTAATAACAGCAACAACAAATATAGTTTTATCACTCCCCTTATTCCATAGCCAAGTTAGGAAGAAAAAGTATTTGTTAGACCCTGAAGCTCTCTTTTCATTAAAGGTATTCAATGAGATGTCTCTGTCTTAGGAAAGGTGATGACAAAAGATGAATCTTAACCTACTAGCCTTCTGAAAAATAGTCTTTATGGTTGGAATGAAGCTAACATTGTATGCCTGCTATAAACATGTTTGCTAGGCATCTGAAAACAATAGGGTGATTATTTTTTTGTCCCATTTTCAAAGCCATCTTTAGAGGCGTGGGTGCCTAGATCTTTTAAAGGGTGGGCTCTGAAGCTCTCAGCAAGAGTTGAATAGGGTTGCTAGGATACTAAAAAAGAGCATTTTCTTGAATTTCCTGGTAGGAAGCTGAAAATTAAAATCCCTAACCTGGAATTTTACACCTCTGGGAAGTCTGGGAAGCCCAAAAAGTGAGAAAAAAGGGAAGAGAATTAGAGAATTTGATGGGGAAAGCTGGAACACATCAGAAAAGAAAAAGTCCTGTTCTTTTTACTTTTCACCCACTTAAAGGAAGGGAAAGAGCATATCTAGAAAGCTAGGAAAATGAAAAAGAAGATGATGAGGCAGAAAGAAAAAAGAAAAGTGCAGAGGGTTTTACTCCTCTAGGTGGCATTTATAATTTTCTCCATTTTCTGGTTTTCCACATTATCTTATATCTGAGGGTGAAATGTCAAACCTCTAGGATTCATACATGTTAAAAATCATACTCACACTTCTTGTTTTCCATTCCTTAAACTCCTTCTAGAGTAGCCCTGGTGGCATAAAACATAATTTATTGGGCTGTTAATTGAAAGGTCACTGTTTGAATCTACCAGTCACTCCACAGGAGAAAAATATGCAGTCTCCTCTCATAAAGTCACAGTTTCAGAAACTCAACAGGAGTAGCTATGAATCAGAATCAGGTCAATGGTAATGAGTGGGCAAACTCTCTCTGGTTGCTCTAGAGTAGCCTACCAACTGGCTAGCAACTTCCATCCCATTTTTTGCCTAAAGATAAGATATTTGAAAAGTGTTAGCACATTTCCCAGCTAAATTACTTAAGGAAGTTTTCACTTAAGTGACTCTGCTAGCCTGAGGGAGTATGGGAAAGGACTGGCATGAAAACCTTCATCCATCCTAGTACCAGTCAAACACAACACTAGGAAGTGCTGCCACACAGAAGATTTTCAGAACTGTAGATTTCAATGGACACCCTGCTTCCTATTACCTTCAACCAAAGTCAGGAGTGTGTATACTTCAACATGCACAGAAAGGCAGGTACATGAACCCACAACATGCATTGTCATACATCCATCACAAATAGGTAATCACAGTCTCTATGTCGAAGGTAAGTCAGATAACCAGAAGAGAAGGCTTATCATTTAACTAGCTGTCATTGTGTCACTTCCAACTCATATAAAACCCATGTGTGTCAGAGTAGAACTGTGCTCCTTAGGGTTTTCAACGGCAACTTTTTCCAGAATTAGATCCTGCTGCTGCTGCTGTTGTTGTTGTTGTTAAATGCCGTCAAGTTGTAAGCGACTCATAGCGACCCTATGAACTTTCTTCATTTCTCCAAGTTCATAGGGTTTCCAGAGGCAAGCTCTTTTGGAAATGCGTGCCACTCCTCTTTCCAAGCTTGTTTTAATCTGGGAGCTCCACCAAACACTGTCTGCCATAGGTGACCAATATCACATTTGGCACATTAGGGTTACAGTGTTCAGCATCACAGCCATCATGAGTTACCTCTGTACAACAAATCGACAAGCAGTGCTATACCACCTAGAAGAATGACCAAAAACAATTAGAAACAGACCTGAGGGATGCAGATTAAAATCACTCACCTTTGGCTTGGCAGCATCAGGCCTTTATTCCTAGGTAGACTCGGGCCAGCAACTTTTAGGTTAATAGTAAAGTACATGAACCATTTGTACCACCCAGGGACTCTGGTCAAAATCTAAAATTAGCTATTTTCTCCCATTCTTCATTACTACCTTTCTTTCAAGTGAATCCTCTCCTGACTTCAAGTTCCTAAAGTCAGAGAATGCAAGAATTTGGAAGTCTCATTATACAACCAGCACAAAATCTCACTGTTATAAGGGATCCCACATCCTCCGTAAAGGAAAAAATACCCAAGGCCAAACAGTCACTAAACATAAAAAAACCCAGGTCTGCAGCTTCTCAGCATAGTTCTTTACCAACTCTCCATACTGTTTCCAAACAAAATGCTCACTCAAGATAACAGATTACTTTAAATAATATCATTGGGGATAAGAGGAGAAAGAAACCCATTAGATTATCTCTGAAAAAAAAGTATTGGTTCTAGCCAGGTTGTTGTTGTTGTTGTCCTACGCTGTTGAGTTAAAACCACCCCATAGTGGACCTTTCAGTGATTTTTAGAGGCTGTAAATCTCATGGGAGGAGACTGCCCATCTTTCTCCTTTGGAACAGCATGTGGATTTGAACCACGTGCCTTCAAGTTAGCAGCACAATTCCTTACTAGTTCACCAGAGAAGTCCTCCCCTATAAAGAGACCGAAGCACATTTAATAAGAATCAAACTTCAATAGGAAGCAAACTTCCCCATCTTGCTTACATTATGGTACTAATGGGGGGGGGGAGGAGTGTAAATCTCGTTTCTCATCCATGGCAAGTGACAAGAGTGTGATCTGATGCTTAAAATCCAGTCTGACATAATTCATTTTCTCTATGTCCTGTGATGAGAAAAATTTCACAGCCTCTTTTTCCCCTAAAATCATCTCCAAGAAGATTGAACAAGGTCACAGGAAACTTGATAGCATAATGCCAACAAATTTCCATAGTATATATGAACAGCCACCTACATGAGTACATGAGAATGATGTGTGTAGACATGTGTGTGCCTGGAATCATTACTACAGCAATGACCTGGAAATAGTGCCTTTTTGAGTCAGCTAATAAACAGAATGAGAAAGTCCTGCCTATAACATATAACACAAGTAAAATATCATATTCAGTGGCATCATAGACAAATATTTTCTTGGCTGTCCCAAGAGTTTGCTCAGTGGAAAGAAATATGAAAATAATGTTAGCAACAATGACAACAACCATTACCACTATTATCTTATACACAAGAGTAAATACAGCTCCTGTTTTCCCCAGTTCTTATCTGATTTCATTTAGATATTTTTTTCTGGGGCACTCAAAATTCCCAATTAGCACATTACATACTTTCATTTTGTTCTAGAAATATATTCATGAGTAAGTAAACAAAAGCATTGTCATGCTTTCATCAGAACTTTTACCAATCTCCACTTAAAATGTGGTTCAAGAAAATAGTTGCTAGTGAGATTACTTCAAAGAAGCCATATTCAAATACTAACTAGGTAAAGAATTGCCTTTTGAAGAAGAAACACAGAAAATCCCAAAGCTAAAAACCAGAAATACTATCTTTGGAAAAGAGAGCCCAAATAACTTTTGTCAATGTATTCTTCTGGCAATTTATAAAAACCAAAGAACACTTTTATGGCCCATTCTATCATTCCAAATAAATTGACTTTTAATCCTTTAAGAAATATTTTAAAAGTGACTTCTTTACAAATTGGAAACTGAAACCTGGACAGGAAACTGAGATGCGATGACACAGTTACCAACAGCCATCTGAAGGCATCAAACCACATTACTTCTCAAATTCTTACTTCTTATTAAAGACTACATAATTTTCCCTAAATAAATTCCTTGCATCAAATTCTTCCTCTAAACAAGACTTTTTTCCTGAAAAAGGGGGGGGGGGGGAAGAAGCATTACGTGCTACAAATCACCTGCCCTGATACCAATCCAAATGCACTCCTGATGGCAGTAAAGAAATTTTAACTAAAATTCTCTAATGGAGTTCAAAGGAAGGTTCCAAGAAAATGAGTAGAAAAAACAATCACAAACAGGAAAGCCACTATTTAAAGATGTAGAGCTTGTTTAGTGAACAAAACATAGATGGAGAATAAGCTCCTGTGTGCATGCAGGCGCGCGCGCGCGCGCGCGCGCACACACACACACACACACACACACACACACGGAAAGCATTTACCAACAATTCCACTCAAGTAATAACCAACTACTTTCACAAGCATTCTTAAAAGACATGAGAAAAGATTTAGGGAAAGATAATATACCAACGTCATACATATCACAGCGAGGCCATGTTGAAGCTCATAACGTTTTCCCCCCTAAGAAAGCTTGTTCTCTCTGTCTCTCTCTTGTTCCTCCACTCCCTCGGTGGCTTCTCAGGATGGAATCAAATCAAGAGTTCACAAGAGATCAGGTGGCTGGACTCCATTCAGCGGGTTCCCAGAAAAAACATGAGTATGACATTGACAAGCAAGAGGACTACAATCACGGCAAAAACGACTACAGTTTGCACATCCAGGGTCATGGTGCAATGCAGAACACTGTAGTGTTCCAGGTGAGGGGCTGGTAGATTAGGAGATGTCAGTCTCTGTTCTGTCAGACTGTCCATACAGTCACCATGCTAAAAAGAAAAGGAGGAAGTCGGTGATTAGGGAAGGGCGGGTTTGGCGCACCGAGTATGGTGGGGGAGGGAAGGGGAAATGGGGCAGGGGCGTTTGATTCCCTCCTCGCAGGATTGGGCTAGCCCTTCTTCTGTAAGTGGGAAATCTTAGCTTGTGCTGAAGTCAGCAGAGTCCAGTAATCTCCCTCAGATGCCACGGAAAAGGTAAAATCCTGGTTTTCAAAAGATAAGACAAGAGGGAACCAGTGGGAGGTTCTTTAGCGCCTGCTCAGTCTGTCTGTCCATCCGCTTGCCTGGCTAATGGCCAGTCTCCTTCCCTCCTACTCGCTTAAGTCTCTTGCTCTTTGCTTGCTTGTTCTCTTCCGAGAGTTGCCTGCACTCATCCGATCGCTGGAGCAATTCCTTGCCCACTGGAGTCTCCCTTTCTCTACTCCCACCCACAGCCTGAAGATTGCCTTTTTTATTCGCTGAGCTACTGCAGGCGCCTGCGTGAAGGGCAAGCCAGTCACTGGCAGGCCTACTGGCCAATAGCAGGTGCTGCTTTGTGGCACTCTGCTTAGGATAGTGTGCAAGCTGCCACAGCTAATGCGGGGTGGGGCTAAGGCTCCCCAAGAAAGGCTTACTCCACCTTAGTGACAGGTAGCCTAAGCTGCCTAGGGATAAGGAGCTATTTGAAGATGTGTTCAGGTGGTCCTACAGGAGGAGCAAAAGACTTGGGAGGAGAGGAAGTTGAAAAAGAGAGGAAGAGACAGGGGTATAGGAGAATAGAAAAAAAGTATGGAAAAGAGAGAAAAGATAAGTGATTAGATGACAAAAGAAAGGAATGGGGGAAAAGAAGGAGAAAAAATAGGGAAAAGAGAGAAAGAATGGGAAAATGTGGCACAAGGAGATAAATGCTCAGTTAATAGCTAAAAGGTTGGGGTTTGAATTCATCTAGAAACATTTTTTGGGATGAATCTGGCAATTTGCTTCTCAAAGGCAATAGCCTTAAAAACCCAGGAAGGGAGATGCATCTTTCCTGGATTAGCATTTGCCTTTTCAAAACTGCTTTCCTTAGTCATATGTTAACTATTTCATAAAATGTCTGTTTACTGCAAAGGTTTACTGTGTGGGTCATAAAAAACTGTGGCTACTCTGAGAAGAATGGGAATCCCAGAACACTTGTTTCTACTAATGTGAAACCTATACTTGGACCAGGAGGTAGTCATCAGAACAGAGCAAGGAAACACTGCATGGTTCAAAATTGGGAAGGGTGTTTGCCAGGGATGTATCCTATTCCCATACCTTTTCAATCTTTATGCAGAACAGATTATCTGGGAGGCTGGGCTCTATGAGGAGAAATGTGGCATCAGGATTTGACTCATCAACAATCTGCGTTATGCAGATGACACAACCCTGCTTGCTGAAACTGAGGACCTTGCTGTGAAAGGTCAGGGACTGCAGTCTTCAGTATGGATTGAGGCTCAATATCAAGAAAACAAAGATTCTCACCACTGGGCCGATTGGTAGCATCATGATGGATGGTGAAGAGACTGAGATTGTTCACAGTTTGGGTTTGCTTGGCTCCACAGTCAACACTCTTGGCACCAGCAGCCAGGGAATTAAAAGATGTATTGGGACGGGAAAGTCTGCGGTTAGACTTCTCTAAAGTATGGAAGTGCAACAGTGTCAGTCTGGAGACTCAAGTGTGCCCGATACATGCCATGGTCTTTGCAATCACTTGCTGTGCATCAGAGAGCTGGACAATGACTAGGGATGATAGAAGGAGAATTGATGCCTTTGAGCTGTGGTGTTGGAGACGAGTATTGAATATACCATGGACTGCTAAGAAAATGAACAGGTTTGACCTAAGGAGGGTGAAGCCAGGCTGCTCCTTAGAGGCAAGGATTCTGAAGCTACATGATACTTTGGACATATTGCAAGGAGGGACCAATCCTTGGAGAGGGACACCATTCTTGGGAGGGTGGAGGGACAGTGCAGGAGAGAAAGACCCTCAATGAGATGGATTTATTCAGTGACTGGGTAATGGGGGTAGATGTGTCAGAGATAGTGAGATTGGCACAGCATCGGGCAGAGTTTGGGGTTGTTGTACATAGGGTCGCTATGAATCACACAGATGGCTCGACTGCACATAACAACAACAACATATGTAAACTGTTCTTTTCAAATATAGAATTCCTGTAATTTTAACTAACAAAATCCTAACCCAAGTATAAAAACCTAATGACCACTTCCAGATAGGAAGGAAGTCTTTGAGAAGAAAATCACTGCTTTCTCCGAGATCTGAAATAAAGTGCTTTGTATACTGCAAAACAAATAAACAAAACCCTACTCTGTACACATGTGGTTTCAATGATTCTAAATCAATTGGAGGGTCACTAACAACTTCTACAAAGGTGGAGAAGAAGCATGCACGACTCATTTTGTTAGGACCCAGGCAAGGAGGAAGCAGAGGCACCTTAAGTTTTTGACTCACAATTATCCTCAAAAATTAAAAAAGCCAGTGCTGTGGGCAGCACTATATAGACACCAAAAAGTATTAAAAACTCAATTCTATTTGGCTTTCTGTGATATCCTTGCTTCTTCCATGTCAGATTTCTTTTTTAAAATATGGCTTCTTTAGACTATGACAATTAGCTTGCAGCATTCCAGCACAATGGGTGCTATGAAGAGAAGCCAGCTAAGGGCTAAACATTTGACATAGAAAAGCTGCAAAACTACCTGCTAGTACTCACTAGGAAGCTCTATTGGACTATTGGTAAGAAGCTGTGTTACTATCCCAAAGGTACATGGTTCAAATCCTCTGTGGGAAGAAGAGTGGGAAATCTCCTCCTATGTGATTTACTGAGTCTGAAAATCCCACTGGAGGGTTAGTAATGAGTCATTTCCAACTTGAGGGCACACAACAGTGGTCACTGCTTAGATCTATGTTTAAGGCTGTAAATGAGATTAAGAGGGAAAGTTCTGGACTAAAGGCCAGAAGGTTTGGATTTATTCCTAGCCTGCTGAACAACTCTTGGACAACTTCCCTCTCTCCTCTTGCCTTGATCCTCCTTGAAGTCAGATTCATCTGATAATTCAGTGAAAGTTCTGAAAAAAAATGTGTAAAATTTCAATATGTTTCTGGGCCCTCTGTAATGAAAAACTACAGATAAAACTCCCTGGTATAGAAAATCTCTAAGATCTTCTTACTCCTACATTTTATAACTACATGACTGAACTTAAATTGATGGAGAAGAAAAAGAAATGGGGTTAACCATGAGAAGAATTAATTGAGTTCCGAAAAAATTTGCATCTATGAACTCTTAAATGGATGATAATTGCTTTCTATTCTCATATGTATTTGAGGTTAGAACTGACATTCATTTTAACTTGTTGTTACATGCCATCAAGTCGAGTACAATTCACAGCTACCCTATGAACAACAAATTCACATGATGTCCTATCATGTGCCATCTTCACAATTCCTGGCACACAAGAGCCCATTGCGGCAGTCACCATGTCAATCCATCTAGTTGATGATCTTCCTCTCCTTTATCAACTCTCCACTTTTCCAAGCATCATGTCCCTCTCCAAGGAATATACCCTCCTGGCAACATGCTCAACATATATGAGTCAAAACCTTATTCTTGTTTCCAAAGAGCACTCCAGTTTCACTCTGCAAAACATATTTGGTTGTTCTTTTGGCTGTCCATGGGATGTTCAATGCTTTTCTTTCAGCACCACAGCTCAAAGGCAATAATTTTTCTTCTGTCATCCTTATTCATTGTCCACCTTTCAGATGAATAGCAAGTTATTAGAAGGACCATGGCCTGAATCAGACACACCTTAGTCCTCAAATTGATATCATTTTGCTTCAATAATATGAAGAAGTACCTAACTGAAGATTTTCACAGTGCAATGTGTCTCCTTATTTTCTGCCTGCTGGTACACCAAGAGTTTTAATTGTGGATCCAAGTAAGATGAAATTGTTGACAGTTTCAATCTCTTCTCCATCCAGCATGATGTTACCCCTTGGTCCATTGTTAAGTATTTTTGTTTTCTTGACCTTGAGGTGCAATCCATACCAAAGGCTGCATTCCTTGATCTTCTGTAACAAGTGCTTCAAGTCCTCCTCATTTTTGGCAAGCAATGTTGTGTCATATATATAATGCAGCTTATTGATAAGTCTCCCTCTGATCATGATGCCACATTCCTCTTCATAGAATACAGCTTCTCTAATAATTTGCTCAGTATACAGATTAAATAGGTATGGAAAGATAATACAAATCTGGTACACTCCCTTCTTAATTTTAAACCATAGAGTGTTCCCCTGCAGCACAACCTCCTAGGGCAGGTATAGGTTTTGCAAGAGCGCAGTTAAGTGCTCTGGGACTCCTATTCATCTCAATGTCAGCCACAACTTCTTATGATCCACACAAATACCTTTGCACAGTCAATAAAGCACAAAGAGACATTCTTCTGGTATTCTTTTATTATTAATGGTAAGTGATACCATTTTAGCTAATTAATTGGAAATTCTAAATGGGTACAGGTCATGAACAAAATTTCCTTCACCCTACAAGATGCCCCAAAGAACTATCCATTTTAAAAGTTTGGATTCACAATTCCATCTAAGAATGATTCTTGCCAAAGCAAACAACAAAATCTCAATAATAATAATCAAGTTTCTATATTAAACTCTTAATTTAGAAGTCACTCAGAAGGTAGAGAACCTCTGATTGAATCTGATGGAATTTAGATATTATTTTGTTGTTAAGTGCCATGGAGTCACCTGTGACTCATAGAAACCCTACGTACAACACTAAATCCTGCACTATCCTGTGCCAATCTTATTGTCTCTGACACATCCAACCCCATTACACCAGCCACAGAAACAATCCCTCTCATTGAGAGTCTTCCTCTCTTACACTGTCCCTCCACCCTCCCCAGCATGACATCCCTCTCCAAGAACTGGTCCCTCCTTGCAACATGCCCAAAGTATGTCAGACAAAGCTTCAGAATCCTCCAGATATCTTGGCACAATATAGTGAGCACATGGAGGGCAGAGTCTGTTGAAATATCTCAACTGATATGCCATCAATTCCTGGGGAGTTGTTTTTTGCCAATTCTTTCAGAGCAGCTTGAACTTCTTCCTTCATGACCACAGGATCTAGCTTATGTGTTGCTTCATGAAATTCTTCTGTCTCAGTCAATTCCTTTTGATACAGTGACTCCCTATACTCTTTCCATCTTCCTGGATCATAAAGTATTTTGCCCAAAGCATCTTTAAGTATTGCAACTTAAATTTGTTCTTCAGTTTGTTCAGCTTAAGAATTGCTGAGTGAGGTCAGCTCCTTTTATTTTCTGACTCCAACTGTTTGCACATTTTATTATAATACTTTATTTTGTCACCCTGCACTGCCCTTTGAAATCTTCTGTTTAGCTCCTTAATTTCTTCCCTTTTCTTTGGCTTCTTTCT